GGCCCAGGTGGGTGGCCCCTCCCCCCCGTGGCAGATGGAACCTGACTCAAACCAGCAGCCGGCGTCGGTGGCGGGACTGGAGCTGTGGGGCCAGTGGACGCTGTGACCGCGGTAGCTCAGCCCCCGCGTGCCCGGCTCCAACCCGTAGACCGGCCACAACCGGTCGCCTTTGCCGTCCGTGTCCAGCACCACGTAGGGGACGTTGACGTCCCCGTCCTCGGTGACGGAGATGGGCTGGCAGAAGCCCTCCAGGTTGAAGTCGCGGGCATGTTCGGCCACGCTGGTGCCCATCACCCAACGGCCGCTTCGCCGCGTGGCCTCCACCGCCTTGGCCAAGAAGTGGATGGAGTTGTAGATGGTGGCGAAGAGGGGGTGGACCTGTGGGGTGAGAGGAGGGGTCAGGAGGTGTCGAGGTACCACCAGCAGCTCCAGAGGGCCATGGTGATGTCCATAGGACAGTGCCATTGGCCACGGCCATCTCCAGCCAAGCATGTTGGCCACGGTCATCTCTACCCAACGCTGCTGGCCACGGTCATCTCTACTCAAGCCTGTTGGCCATGGTCATCTCCAACTAAGCCTGTTGGCCATGGTCATCTCTACCCAATGCTGTTGGCCGTGGTCATCTTCACCCAGTCCTTTTGGCCATAGTCATCTCCAACCAATGCTGTTGGCTACGGTCATCTCCATCCAATGCTGTTGGCCACAGTCATCTCTACCCAAGCCTGTTGGCCATGGTCGTCTCTACCCAAGCCTGTTGGCCATGGTGATCTCCATCCAAGCCTGTTGCCCCTGGTCATCTCTACCCAATGCTGTTGGCCATAGTCATCTCTACTCCATGCCTGTCTACCTCCATCCAACTCCCATTGGCTACCATCACACCCACTCCACTCCCATTGGCTGTGACCACCTCCCTCTGATGTCAACAAGCCACAACCACTTCCACCCAAGTCCCGTTGGCCCCATTCTTCACCAGCTGCCTCACCCCACCTCCAACCCATAACCCGTCCCCATCCCACAGATCTGTCCCTCGCCCCACGGATGTGTCCTTCACCCCACGGATGTGTCCTTCACCCATGGATCTGTTCCTCACCCCATGGATGAGTCCTTCACCCACAGATGTGTCCTTCACCCACGGATCTGTCCCTCACCCCACAGATGTGTCCTTCACCGCACGGATTTGTCCCTCACCCTATGGATGTGTCCCTTACCCTATGGATGTGTCCCTCACGCCATGGATGTGTCCTTCATCTCATGGATTTGTTTTTCACCCACAGATGTGTCCCTCACCCCACAGATATGTCCCTTGCCCCATGGATGTGTCCTTCACCCACAGATCTGTCCCTCACCCCACAGATGTGTCCTTCACCGCACGGATGTGTCCCTCACCCCACAGATCTGTGCCTCACCCCCATGGATGTGTCCTTCACCCACGGATGTGTCCCTCACCCCACAGATCTGTGCCTCACCCCCCATGGATGTGTCCTTCACCCATGGATGTGTCCCTCACCCTACAGATCTGTGCCTCACCCCCATGGATGTGTCCTTCACCCACGGATGTGTCCCTCACCCCACAGATCTGT